TCGCCATCTTGGAAGGGCTGGGCGAGCCGAACACGAGCCAGACACGATGGCGCTGGGGCGCTGATCGTGCTGCATATGAGACGTTCGTCGCCATCCTGGAGGGGATGCGTGATCCGAACGTGAAAGAGACACGATGGCGCTGAGGGGCCGATCGTGCTGCATAAGACGTTCGTCGCCATCCTGAAGGGGATGCGCGATCCGAACGTGAAAGAGACACGATGGCGCTGAGGGGCCGATCGTGCTGCATAAGACGGTCGTCGCCATCCCGGAGGGAATGTGCGAGCCGAACCGTGAAGCCAGGTACGATGGCGCTGAGGGGCCGATCGCACTGCATAAGACGTTCGTCGCCATCCTGGAAGAGATGCGCGATCCGAACGTGAAAGAGACACGATGGCGCTGAGGGGCCGATCGTGCTACATAAGACGGTCGTCGCCATCCCGGAAGGAATGTGCGAGCCGAACCGTGAAGCCAGGTACGATGGCGCAGAGGGGCCGATCGCACTGCATAAGACGTTCGTCGCCATCCTGGAAGAGATGCGCGATCCGAACGTGAAAGGGACACGATGGCGCTGAGGGGCCGATCGTGCTGCATAAGACGGTCATCGCCATCCCGGAGGGAATGTGCGAGCCGAACCGTGAAGCCAGGTACGATGGCGCTGAGGGGGCCGATCGCACTGCATAAGACGTTCGTCGCCATCCTAGAAGAGATGTGCGAGCCGAACCGTGAAGCCAGGTACGATGGCGCTGAGGGGCCGATCGCACTGCATAAGACGTTCGTCGCCATCCTGGAGGGGATGCGCGATCCAAACGTGAAAGAGACACGATGGCGCTGAGGGGCCGATCGTGCTGCATAAGACGGTCGTCGCCATCCTGAAGGGAATGTGCGAGTCGAACCGTGAAGCCAGGTACGATGGCGCTGAGGGGCCGATCGCACTGCATAAGACGTTCGTCGCCATCCTGGAGGGGATGCGCGATCCAAACGTGAAAGAGACACGATGGCGCTGAGGGGCCGATCGTGCTACATAAGACGGTCGTCGCCATCCCGGAAGGAATGTGCGAGCCGAACCGTGAAGCCAGGTACGATGGCGCAGAGGGGCCGATCGCACTGCATAAGACGTTTGTCGCCATCCTGGAAGAGATGCGCGATCCGAACGTGAAAGAGACACGATGGCGCTGAGGGGCCGATCGTGCTGCATAAGACGGTCGTCGCCATCCCGGAGGGAATGTGCGAGCCGAACCGTGAAGCCAGGTACGATGGCGCTGAGGGGCCGATCGCACTGCATAAGACGTTCGTCGCCATCCTAGAAGAGATGTGCGAGCCGAACCGTGAAGCCAGGCACGATGGCGCTGAGGGGCCGATCGCACTGCATAAGACGTTCGTCGCCATCCTGGAGGGGATGCGCGATCCAAACGTGAAAGAGACACGATGGCGCTGAGGGGCCGATCATGCTGCATAAGACGGTCGTCGCCATCCTAAAGGGAATGTGCGAGTCGAACCGTGAAGCCAGGTACGATGGCGCTGAGGGGCCGATCGCACTGCATAAGACGTTCGTCGCCATCCTGGAGGGGATGCGCGATCCAAACGTGAAAGAGACACGATGGCGCTGAGGGGCCGATCGTGCTGCATAAGACAGTCGTCGCCATCCTGAAGGGAATGTGCGAGCCGAACCGTGAATCTGGACACGATGGCGCTGAGGGGCCGATCGTGCTACATAAAAATGGTGATGATCATCTCATGGCCCTCGGCCTGTCGGTGAGTGATAATTGTCCCACGGCCCTCGGCCGTGCTGGTGATGTGTCAAGTCTCTATGATGATTGGCTGTGAGAAGCCGATCGTCTGCCAGGACTCCATTCGGGAAGGAATGGTGAGCCTGAAAATAAATATGGGCAATGTCCCTCCTGTCTGAGCTGGGGAGCTAATCGTCGTTCGTCTACCGTATCCGTGGTCCTATGTACGGACCGCTAAGCGGTGTACACTCGGCACGCACAGACTCCGATAAAGAACTGGTTCTTCGTGTCTGATCCATGAAGCTGGTCTTCATTCGTCTACCGTATCCGTGGTCCTATGTACGGACCGCTAAGCAGTGTAAACTCGGCACGCACAGACTCCGATAAAGAACTGGTTCTTCGTGTCTGATCCATGGAGCTGGTCTTCGTTCGTCTACCGTATCCGTGGTCCTATGTACGGACCGCTAAGCAGTGTACACTCGGCACGCACAGACTCCGGTAAAGAACTCGGTCTTTGTTCTTCCCAAGTCTCGTGAGTACTGGTCTCCTGGTTTCGCAGGAGACGTTCGTCATCCCAACTATGAGGAGAAACAGGTTTATCCACGTCGGGATTCCCTATCTCTGTTCGTCCCCAGTCGTGAGGTACTAGTCTTCTGGCTTCGCATAAGACGTTCGTCATCCGTCCATAAGGGGGAGGAACCGGTACACCCTGTCAGGGTTCCCGTTTCTTCGTTCGTCCCTGTCGTGATCCTACTAACCTTCTTCCCTCGAAGAAGACGTTCGGTCAATCACCGATCGCAAGGATGTCACTAGTTTACCCTATCGCGGGTTCCCTGCTTCGTCGTCCCATGCTCGTGGCCCTACTAGCCTTCTGCTTTGGCAGAAGGTGTTCATCGAACCACGGGAAATGGGAGGAACTGGTTTATCTTGCCGAGGTTCCCTTTGGTACGTCTACCCCCCCCCCCCCCCCCCCCCACATTCCTACTAACCTCCGCGTCGGGAGACGTTCGTCATACGCGGCGAAGGAAGATCAGGCATACCTCGTCAAGACTCCCTCTCTCATAGGAGCTTCTCTCTCCCCTTCTCCCCATCTTTTCTCTATTTTCTTTTTTTTTCTTTTTTCTTTTTCTTTTTTTTTTTAGGGAGGAAAATACGTTCATCGGTTCTAAGAATGACCACAAGTGATGTCACACATAATGGTGGTGGGATACAAAAACGAATAAAATGACGAGGCGATGGAATAGCTGGTCGCCATGCGAAGGCGAAGGTCACCCTCCTGGAGGGGAGGGGTGAGTCCCATCGCTAACTCAAGAAGGTCGGCATTGGGAGCCGATAAACAATGATCATAATGTTGCTAAGCAGACGGTCCTGATAAGGAGATGTCAATAGTGTCCGATCAGGCCGATATATCCGAGCAACGGCTCTCATCCACGCAGCGCGGGGATGAAACCGGTCTTCAAATATGATGGTGGCACCGTACCAGGAGGTCGGTGGCCGTGTATGACGTCGGCGCTGGGGCCGATCCAAAGAGAGATAATCAGCGGTCCTCATCCGCGAGGAGCGGGGACGAGGCCGATTTTCAAGTATGGAAAACACGCCGAGCCGGGGGGCCGGTCGTGATATAATGATGTCGGCAATGAGAGGCCGATCTGAGATCCAGCAACGGTCCTCCTCCACGCAGCGCGGGGACGAGGCCGGTCTTCAAATAAGATAATCATGCCGTGCCGAGAGGCCGGTCATGATGTAATGATGTGGGCAATGAGAGGCCGATCTGAAATCCAAGCAACGGTCCTCATCCGCGCAGCGCGGGGACGAGGCCTGTCTTCAAATATGATGATCATGTCGTGCCGAGGGGCCGGTCATGATGTAATGATGGCGTCAGACGGCCCTCGACCGTGACGATCTCTTCTAGGCCCTCGGCCTCTGAATGACGGGTGATCGTCTCACGGTTCTCTGTCATGGCATTCGCCTCTAGACCCTCGGCCTCTAGGTGTTCTTCCTAGGCCATCGGTCTCTGGGGTGGAGATGCTCGTCCCACGGTTCTCAACCGTGGTGGTCTCCTCTAGGACCTCAACCTCTGGGTGGAGATGCTGGTCCATCGGCTCTCAGCCGTGATGGTCTCCACTTTAGCTGGCCCTGAACGTCTTCAAGATTCGGGCCGAGCGTCTTTTAATCATTTCGCTCAAGCGCGTCGAGTGGCTTCAGCTGCGCAATAAGCATGATAACGGGCCGTATGGCCCGACAATATGTATACACACATAAACATCTGCATGGCCTTCCCTCTAACACCCACGATTACCGGCCTATGGGTCATCGTGACCCTCGGCCCGGCTCATCGTGCGGGGTTAATGGACGTAGCAGCTCGCGGCGGGGCCAATTAGCAGCCCGCCGAACGTCACATAGAGATATTCATCTTTCTGTGAGTTTTCAAACTCAGACTCAAGTTGGTCGCACTGCCCTCGGAAAAACGAGGTTGAGTGCTTTGGTGCCCTCGGGCCCCACAGGCCACGTTCGGCAATAGTCACTTCGCGCCTAATGGCGTAGATTACATTGGGGTATGATCGTCGATCGGGCACGTAGTGCCATGCGGACTAATGCGCAACCCTCCAATTAAAATGCGTCGTCGGGGCATCGCCCTTCTAGAGACGCTCGGATCACTTAATCAAGCTGATCGAGAGTGGGCCAACAGGCCCACAAGAAATTAAATATTCAATAAAATGTTGGCTGAACCAACCATCACCAGAACTTCGCTCCACATTATTTAATTCGGGACATTTATCCCTAATAAATAATAGTGATGTCATAGGCAATAGCAATGATGTTACCCTATCAAAGGCCATTCCGATATGCTCCGCCCGCTAATTAAAGCATATCAGGAGCGGACTGACGGGCCCACGACAATCAGTCATTTAATTCAAATGTCAGTGAAATTAATTATCACTAGAGCGTCGCTCGCACTATTTAATTTCGGGAACATTTACCCCTTTTAAATAGTGGTGATAAAAAATATTAGCAAGAGGAATCATGCTTCAACCCATTAACGATTAAACGTACCGAATTAAAAGTAAGAATAGATACTTAGCTTTTTTGGAGATAGGGGTGGGAAAAACCGAACCGAAACCCGGAAACCGACCCTGGACCGACCCGAATTATGATTCTGGTCCGGGTTTTTTCTTTTTAACCGGCCCAAATTAAAAAAAACCCGGACCGAACCGAAAATTCCGGGCTCATTAACGGGCCTTAAAATCTATAACCCGGCCCGGACCGAAAAAACCCGAAACAATTAGTTTTAAGATAAAATTAATATAGTACTACGTATATGAATATAAATAAAATATTTCCTAATATATGATTATAATCACGGTGGATAAAAAAAGATTTAGTAACTTTTAGTGACTACAAATATGTTGAATTTGTTTAGCGTAATGATGACCATGAGAATATATTTATAGCAACTCTAGTAACTTTTTGATTTATAAAATTTATTTCATAATATTTTTAAGAAACATATATTATTTATATATATGCATCTTACATAAAATATTAAGATAATTATCTTCTTTAAATTTGAATTGTTGGTGATTTTGGAGACTAATATTTGTGTTATTATTTGCGGTTTGTATTTTTGATTAATTTTATTTGAAAATAAGTGTTAAAATATAAGAGAACAATGACATATTTCACGTCCGGGCTTCAACCGGTCTAACCCGAACCCGGACCGAACCCGGGCTACCAAAAACCCGACTCGGACCGAATATAATGGGCTTTGTTCCGGTCCCTAATTTTCATAACCCGAGACCTTCCGGGTAATTTCCGGGTTTAGCAAAAACCCGACCCAGACCGGACCGATCTCACCCCTATTTGGAGATAGAGCAAGCCTCGGCCAGCTGGGCTTTTGGAGTCATTCTGATCTCCCCTTCGGACGTGGCCTTCTGGGAGCCAAGACCTTTGATCAGTTCGCAGCACTCCGTATCTTTTGGACAGGGAGCTGGACATCCTCTCACTGACCCGAGGCCAAACTGCTTGGGCTGGCCACCTACCGACGGCGGTACGGGCGTTTACCGCGGTGCAAAGGGTGCGACGGAGACCGGCCTTGGTGGGTTCCGGCGGAGCTTCATTAATGGCGGAATTTCCTTCCGGTCGCGTCAGCTTCAGGTCGCTGATGACGAGCGGTGGTGTGCGACTGAGGCGGTGGCCGCCTGAAACAGTTGGGGTGCTGCAGCGAGCTTCGCCTGGCGCAGCTGACTTCACCCGGAGGTCCACCGCGGTGGGGATGGTTACGGCGGCTCCGGTGACCTCAAAAACAGATCTGGAAAAAATCCAGATTTGGGCTTCCCAGATTTTCGTAGCTTCCTGGCTTCTCCTTCCTTTCCTCAGAACCATTTGTTTCTTTTTTCTTTGCTTGAATCCAGTTCATCCGTATCAGTTTTTTGTTTGTATTTTGTTGAAAATCAGTTCTCGTCTAGAGTTGGTTGTCGAAGCTGAAGAACACGCTTAGTCTTTTTGAACTGATTCCCACAGACGGCGCCAGTGTTGAGTTTAATCCAACACGATATAGTAAATATATGTATGAATACTCAGTTTTTACGTGGAAACCCGAGAGGGAGAAAACCACGGGACTTTTTAGGCTAATGTCCAAGTCCTCTCTTTCTCATTAGGACTCTCCTCACCATTACATAATACAATTTGAGCTCCCATTAATGGAGTATTATCTAATCTAGAGAGCTAAAGGAAGAAGAAAAAGGATCCCCAATATGGAGGGAAACTCCTATATTTATAGAGAATAGGGGAAGGGATGCTCTCCACCCTAATGGGCCGCATGGGCCGGAGTGGGCCCAAATGGCTAAAGTGGGCCGGATGGGCCGAAATGGGCCTAGCTGCTCGGGCTCCGTACTACGTAAAGCCTTGGACTCATGAACAGTAATAGGCCGGGATAATATATCCCAACAATTGCCAATGCATGGGTAAGGACAATAAACCCATTTACTGCATCCATTTCAGAATCCATTTGTTATTGTTACCACATTCATGTTACAATACATAGTTAATATACCTTCGTATCATTTTTAGTAGATGATTATATGACTTCTTATAGGATTCTGGACGGATAAATTTTTCTGGATTTTATTGCCAAAAGAGTTAATTTTGAAAGGATTCTAAAATTGCAACCTATTGTTAATTTTGAGGTCTGTTTTTTCTAACTTGAGTGATTTAGGTCCATTGGAGGTTGAATATGTACTTTGTACTTCGTATAAGACTACAAATGAAATATTGTAGTCCTGTGTTAGAACTTTTATTGTGCGTCAAGTTTGTCTGTAATGTCTTGTTTAAATAAAGTAGACTAGTTATACCATTTATGGTATTAGATTAGTATTTATTATGTAGCAAATAAGGTAAAGGGAATAAGGCCCAAAAAGGCCTTGGCCCAACTTCCAAGGTTTACCTAAATCGGTAACCTGTACAGCGCCTATAAATATGCGCCTTGTGTACAGGTACCGATATCGATCAATATACATTAGCCTTACGCTGCCAAATTTACTTCTCGATAAAACAGAAAGAGGAATTTCCTTGTTCTCGATATTGCCTTATCATTATCAGATCTTCTCTCTTTCTGTGTGTCGATGAAATCCATCTAGCTGCGTGTTAGTCTGCATAATCTGGGACCAACAACTGGTATCAGAGCCTGCTCGAGTGTGATCGTCGAAGAAAAATTTTCGAAGTTTCTCTGTTTTCATACTTTTCGATATATCTCTTTGTAATCACTGTAATCTTGTTTCTGATCGATAAACTGTAAAAGTTATACCATTGGATTCGCCATTCAGAAACGAACCAAGGGTATATCTTACTTTTCGATTTCAGTAGATTCAGTATTTTTGATTTCTCGATAGTATGAGTTCGAAAAGCAGGGTTCTCGACATTTAAGCAGTTTTTTCAGGACGAAAACTATACAGGAAGACCTTCGAGATCAAAAACTTCACAGAAAAGTGGTTTAAACTGTTTAAATCTGAACTTTTGATTTGCAGGATTTCGACACTACGTTCTCGATACAAGTTCTCGAACTGAGTTCTCGAGATTGCTTTCTCGATACTTAGTTTTCGATACTGAATATCTAAAAACTCTGTTATTCAAATTGCAGGTTCTCGATACAGCTTCTCGACACTCAGTTCTCGAAACTAAGTTCTCGAACTTAGCTTCTCGATACTGAAGTTCTCGATACAGCCTCTCGAATCCTGCTTCTCGATAAACAGGTTCTCGATATTCACTATCGAAAACTGGTTCTCGATAGAACTTCTCGACACCTAGTTTTCGAATTTTTTCTTGAATTAGGTTTTCGACATTCTGCATCTTAAATTTTTTTCTGATCAAAACACTCGACCGATCTGTTAAGGCTCAATCAGCAAAGATGGAAGCATTAGCACTTGGAAATGACAACAGACCACCCATCCTCAGAAAAGGAGAATATCAGATGTGGAAGACAAGATTCTTGAACTTTCTGGAAGGGAAAGACAATTCATCTGCCATGCTTGAATCACTCACTCAAGGTCCTGCTGAGATCTATACTGAAGTAGATACCTCAGATGTAAACAACCCCCCTGTCAACTATGTGAAAAGACTGAAGACAAAAGGCGAATACACTGAGGCTGACAAGTTGAGAATCAAAGCTGATCTCATGGCAAAAACTTACCTGCTGCAAGCTATCCCCAATGATATCTACATTCTGATAGACAGCATGGAGACAGCAAAGGAAATGTGGGATGAGGTGAAGAAGTTAATGATTGGAACTGATCTTGGTTTGAAGACAAAGAAAGCAAACATCTTGACCGCCTATGATGCTTTTAAAGCCCTACCTGGTGAGGCGCTCCATGAGACGTATAACAGATTCGTACAACTGATCAATGAGATGAGAAAGATCAAAGTTGTCAAATCTAATATGGAAATGAACATACGCTTCTTGTCGAGCCTGCCGCCAGAATGGAGAAGAACTGTTAAGAATCTACGACAGCACCTAGACTTGGATGAACTTGACCTCTGCACTGTCCATGAACATCTACAGCAGTTTGTTAATGACACTGCTGAGATGGAAGGAAGCTTCTCCGCTAATCCTTTAGCACTAATGATTGAAGCTAAATCAAAGAGTTCATCTAAGGGTCCGAAGAAGAAGAAGGCAGTCAAGATAGAGTCAGAAGAAGAAGAGAGTGAAGAAGAAATGGATGTTGAATCCGAGCTGGCCGATCTACAGAAGAAGATGGCACTACTTCCCAATCAGTTCAACAAAAGGTTTGCCAAGAAAGGAAGCTCATCAAACAAGCTCCGAACCTCCTCTGCCAACTACAAAACAAAAACCAATGATCAAAACTCTTCTGGTAGAGTTGTTGCAGCCGAAGACCCCCTCAAATGCTTTAACTGTGGAAAAGCTGGACATGTTATCAAGGACTGTCGCTTACCAAAGAAGAGGGACTTCAACTATTACAAGCAAAAGATGCTGTGGAACAAACAGAAGATGTTCATGGCTAAGCAAGATGATGATAGTGTTGCAACTCTTACTGAGAATGATCCATGGCAGGAGGAGAGTTCCGATGATGAAGAAGAAGAGAATCTGGCCCTGATGGCGTTTGTGGACGAAGAAGGAAAAGAAAAGGGTGATGCTACGATCCCCGAAAAAAATCAAAGTTCAAGCTCAAACACCACTGTGAGTACTTCTGAACCTTCTTGCTCCTGTACTTGCAAAGTTCATTCCTCACATGAAAAAGATAACACCATAAAGGAGTTAAAAGGCAGGTTAGATCATAACTACAAAGTTGCACTTGACACTCTAGATAAGAGTCACTCTCTGAAGTTGCAACTAGAAAATGAGAGAGAAAGAGTTCAGAAACAAAATTTAGAAACAGAAAAGCTTACACAGAAAACAACTGAACTAACTAAGAAGGTCAGTGACACAGAACTCGAACGAAATGTTGCAAAAGCAGAAAATGATTTTCTACGCAAACAAAGATGTGCTCTTTACACAAAAATCAAAGAATTAGAAGATCTACTGGTCAAAAGAGGACAAACTGAACAAACAATTTTCTTAAACCAAAACAGGGACACTCGGTTTTATAACTCAAAGGAAGGTCTTGGCTTTACTAACCCCAACAATCTGAAAAAGATTGATTGTCTCCAACTTTACAACATAAAGTACATGGGGTTAGGATTGACCAAGTTGATGGCTTTTACCTACGGAAAAGAAACCGCAGAAGAAGAAGAGGTAAAGCGGTCAAATCCATCAAAAGCCGAAATTCCTTTCAGTTATGATTCCCTGAACAAAAGCTATGAAAACGCTGAACCTGTTTTGTCAACTGATGAGAGTGTGAATCTCTATCCTTCTGAGAAGGAAGTTGTGTCAGACCCTGAACCCCCTTCAACCTCAGGTTCAAGTGGAGAAGAACCCTACATCCCTCCACTAATCAGGAAATTTGAAAACCTTCACATCTCTTTAGAAAATCAAAGAAAAAGTTTTGAAGAAGAGAGAAAAGAATTCGAAAGTGAGAGGGAGAGGTTGTTGAGAGAACTAACCATTTTAAAAGAAAATTCTCAATCTGGCACAACTTCTCAATCATCTAGTGATACTGATACATCTCAACCAATTCTGAACAAAACTAACCTTTTCAAAAAGACACCCACTCACTCCAACTCTCCTTTGAAAACAGGAAATGAAGTAAATCGGAGAGTGGAGAGGAGAAGAGAGTGGAAGTTAAAGAGAGCTGAGATAGCTGAAGGAAAGAAGAAGATGTTTTCTGAGAATAAAAAGTCATGTTCAAATGCTGTTTTCTATTCAAATAAGCGTAGATCTAGTTCTATGTCACAGTCATGTAGTTCCAGTTCAGTCTTGTGTCCCAAGCTGAATCATTCTAAGTTTAAATCTGATACTTTCATTATCAATGAAAAGTTGTTCACTTCTGGGTATGTGAATCCTTGCAATGATACTTTTGGTTCTGATCATGATGTAAATGCTGTAAGTGAGAAAGAAAAAGGAGAGAGCAAACAAAGAAAACAGTCTGAGAATAGAACTGTAGAGGGTATCTATAATCTTCCAAATTTAAGATATCCTCTTAGAGTTCATTCGAAGAAACATTTACAACGTCTCTCTAAAGAAGAAATTTTCAAACCTTATCTCACGAACCAGCCATTCACACATAGAAACAATGACTCTGCCTCCTCCGCTCCTAAAATCAAACAAAAATGGATACCAAAAGCTGAACTTGAAAAACAAAGAACATTATCTGAAAAGGCTGTTGACCTTGGATCACAGCTAAAAGGAAAATTCAAAAGGATATTCTCAATTGATAAGGAAGGACCCATCCTGAGGTGGGTACCTAAAAGTCCTTAATCTGTTTTGCAGGACGGTCATGTGTGGCATTTAGATTCTGGCTGCTCAACCCACATGACCGGAATAAAGGAGCTGTTGAGCAACTACACCAAATGCTACGGAGGAAATGTGAGATTCGGAAACAACGCAGCATCTCCAATCCTAGGATTTGGGGATGTCATCTGTGCAAGTGTCACCATCAAGGCTGTGTCATATGTGAAAGGACTGAAGCATAATCTGCTAAGCATTGGACAGTTCTGCGATAGTGGCATGGAAGTGAAGTTCATAGCCAGACAATGTTGTGTGCTGGACAGGTTTGGAAAGGTATTATTGACCTGCACAAGAACTTCCAACCTGTACACCATTGATCTGAAGAGCGTACAATTACCTTCTTCCATCTGCCTGCTGTCCAAAGCTTCCTATGAACAAAACAGTCTATGGCACAGACGCCTGTCTCATCTCAACTTCAAATATCTCACTACTCTGTCTTCCAAGAAACTTGTGAAAGGGCTGCCTCCTCTGAAGACTTTCGCTGACACTCATTGTGATGCCTGCAGACTAGGCAAGATGAAAAGGAGCTCTCACAAGTTAAAATCTGTTCCATCCTCCTCCCGACTGCTTCAACTACTACATATGGATCTGTGTGGACCAATGAGAGTCCAAAGCATCAATGGACGCAAGTATACACTGGTCATTGTGGATGACTTCTCTCGGTACACATGGACCAAATTTCTGAGGACAAAGGATGAAACCGCTGCAACCATCATAACCTTCATCAGGACGATCCAAAATTTTCTACAAAAGAGTGTGGAGATCATCAGAACAGATAATGGTACCGAGTTCAAGAATCAGTCTCTTGCTGATTTCTATGAAACTCAGGGTATCACACAGCAATTCTCTGCAGCAAGGACACCACAACAGAACGGGGTTGTTGAAAGAAAGAATAGAACTCTTGTTGAAGCAGCACGCACCATGCTCATTCAGTCAAAGCTTCCCCATTTCATGTGGGCTGAAGCAATCAACACAGCGTGCTT